CTATCTGAGCCCCTCTGCCTCCCTTCTCTGTAGAGGAGGAGGCATTGTAAAGTTAACAGCTGTTTAAAACATAACCCCCAGGTGCAGGTGATAGGCCAGGTGCCGGGCTTGCACCTGCAAACCAGGCCAGCAGGGAACTAATGGAGTGCCTGCTTGTTAGCAGAGAATGTGTCAGTACTGAATGGAAGGTTGAGGAAGGTTGGGGAGGGAGAAATAGGGCAATGTACTATGGTGGAGAAGGAGGTGAGAGGGGTCTCACCAAGGAACTGGGGGGAAAGCAGCCTCAGCAAGGAAGGAGGAAGCAGTAAAACACACACACACACACACACACACACACACACACACTCCTCACCATTTCCATGCAGGCACTCACAGAGCATGGGCTTCTCTCTGCCTGTCTGTCACACTCGTTTTGTTCCATGTTGTCCTCTCCTTGACCCCACCCACACCCAAGAATGGGACTTCACCTGCCAGAGAATGAAGACAGTTCTTTTGAGGCACAGTCTGGCAGAGGCCAAGTGGCTGATGGAATATTCAGAATGCCTCCCCTGTTTCCCTTTGTTTTGCAATAGCAAGTGTCCCTTTGATGGACACTTAATTCTGGAGGCAACTCCTGCTTCCTATCGCCCTCTGCTCAAAATATTAAATGCAGCTAAGTCTGCATTCCTGCTATGATCGTCTCCCTCGGCGTGGAGGGAGCAAGGCCAGAATGGGAACACTTTAGAATGTTCAAAGAGGGACAGTTATTGAGGGAGCCAGATTAATGAGGTGTCATGACAACTTAGCCAGATCTGCAACTGACCTTTCTCATGGAGAACGGGCTTGATAAATGCAGTTCATTACCAAGTTCTGACAGAAAAATACGAACATACTCTGGACTCTTCAGTACACTGATCAATATTTTATCTGTCAAAGAAAGCCTGGTCTAGATGCAGGAGGATCCTGAGACTAACTGGACAACCTTTGCTGCGTGTGGGACCCTAGACTAGCCAGAAAAGTGGCTTGGATGCCTTCTGACAGCCAGTCAGGCATGGAGATGTCCCAGAGTAGGGACGATCCTGGGTAGAGGAAGAGAGGGGAAAAAAATCCAGGATGACTTCCTCGTTCCATAGGACTCTATGTAGAGTTAATTGTCAACTATCCCAGTGCATGAGGCAAAAATGCGTGAGCTACATCTCTGCTCACTGGAGTCAACCTGTCAGGATACCTCAGGCATGGATGGCTCCTGTTCTGTCACGATGCTGTAAGATGTTAAGGTGCCTAGGACACCCCCACCCCCACCTCCACCCCATCAAGCTTGGATGGTCCTCGGGCTCCCTTAGGCAGTGCTCATTAGAGGTATCAGTGTTGGTAGTATTAGCTACTTTTCTCTGCTGAGACAAAATTGATTTAAGGACAAATTGATTTGGGCTCACAGTTTGAAGGTACAGCCTGTCATCATGGGGAAGGCATGGGCTTGGGAACATGAGGTACCTACACCCACATCGAAGAGAGACATGGATACTGGCACTCAGCTGGCCTCCTTTTTTCCTTTTCATTTAGGCCCCAGCCCATGGTACTGTGCTGCCCACATTCAGAGCTCTACTTCTTTGGAAACTCCCTCACATACATCCTCAGAGGTATCTCTCCTAAGGGATTCTAACCTGTCAATTTGACCGTGAAGTTGAAGCATCACCCAGGCCAAGTTCAACAGCCTGTCACATTTATGTTCTGAATTTCCCTGGCCCCAGGCTGGCCCAAGAAGCCTTGGAAATGGACTACGGAGGGGTGTGTAGTGAGTACCCAAGTCTCTGCCACACACCCTCCAGGAACCTTCCCCTTCAAGGAGCCAAGTGTACTGAAGCCCAGACTAACACAGGACCCTGCTCTGGTCCAAGGATGTCACATGCTTTCCCTTCCTAGGCAGAGGCTGGCTTAGCTTCTGGCCAACTATGTTGACATCTGCTGCACACACTAAATGAATATAGATGATTGATTTTATTCATCTTGTTCTGTTTTTTTGTTTTGTTTTGTTTTTTTGGTTTTTTTTTTTTTCTTAGTAGGGTCTATCACTGCCTATCCCTGGCTGGGCAGAAACTGTATAACCTCGGCTAGCCTCAAATTTGCAGTGATCCTCCGGCTTCTGACTCCTGAGTGTTGTGATTACCACTCCTGGCTTGATTTTATTTATTCATCAATGTGGCTATCTGCTTATCTCTTCAATTGGTACATCATTCTTTTATCACGTGGAAGTCAGGAGACAACTTCATGGAGTCACTTCTCTCCACCTTTACACAGGTTTCCAGGATGGAACATAGGTTGGCACATGAGAAACTCAATGGTTTGGAACTGGAATCAGGGTTTGGGAACTCAGGTTAGACAGGCCTGGCAGATGCAAACATGTGCGGTGTCCCATGTAGCTGAGCCACTCATCTCTATCTTTGTGAAAGAGGGTGGGGTGTGAAGTATACACTAAACCTAGGACTCAGTGAACTCTTCCTGGGAAGACAGGCATCCTAGGGTCAAGCCTGCCTCAGGGAGGAAAGCTCACCCTGCAACTGAACTCAGAGACTGGAAGATAGCATGGAATAGTGGCACAGAGCCACCAGGAAGACATGTTTGTATGTGAAGCGTCAAGTGTGTCTCCAGTAAGAGAGGGTAGACCACAGACTCTAAAGTGATTGACTCTATTGGTGTGTAAATCCTGACACTTGGGTGGCTTTCTCTGCTATGTCCTCAGGTCTTTCCAATGTTGGGGTGTCTTACTACACCTGCCCTGCCTGCTCTAACCTCCAGGCGGCCCTGCTCTCACAGGTTCTCAGGATGTTCATCACTGACTAGCATGTCTAAGGGAGGCCTTCTCTTAATAAATACTACTTTAGTCACTTTAGCTTCCCAGCATCCGGTGCAGGTGCCTGTCCCCAGGGAAACCTGACAGTCCCTCCAATATATGCACAGACTCCATGTGGACACTTCTGCCAGCACCCACCCCAACAGCTAAACAGCTACTCCTCCATTCCCACTCTGTTCTCTTATTTCTACTCCATTTGTCAGCACAGATTTCACCCTCTTTGGTAAGGGGGGATGGGCTAGACTCAGTCAAGACCATCCTACTCTTTCCCAGAAATAGTTTTTTGAGTAGAAAAATCCAGCCACCAGACACATTTTTCTCATCCATATTGGCTTTGTCATGAAACTAGGCCATGGAAGCCATGCTCAACACTCCATGGTCATGTAGGTTTAAAAACAGGGTATGTCTGTGGGTCCCAGAAACTCTCAGGAGTAGATCACCTACCAGGCAAGGGAGGGATGTGAGCATGTGTGGGGATGGGAGAGGGCCCTTGTGTCAAAGCATGGCGACTCCCAGAAATCAAAGAGATTTGATTATATTGAACACAACAATTGATTTTTTTCTTCTAAACACACAAAGGAAATAGTAACAGGCATTTGTTTCTGACAAGAATCAATTGACCCTAAATTGGGAGAAATCTAGAAACACAAACAAGTGCAAGAAAAAGTGTTTCGGCTACCTGGGCTTCTCCAATGAGAGAAGGATGAAAGGAGAGAAAAACAGTTCCTTGCCCCCTTCCCACTGAGGAGCTTCTGTGAGTCTCTGCTCTCCCTATCATGGTTCCAACAACTGAAAGTGTGAGAGTAGCTACCAATCACTGAGTATTGGCTCAGAGTAAAGATATGTGTGACTATGTTAATGAACCCTCATAATATCCCCATGTGGGATGCACTATTATCCCATTTCTCAAATGAGATCATTGAGGCCCCTTGTCCCAGGTTGCACAACCTGGAAGCAGCAGAGCTGGGACTCACAAACCCAGTAGTCCCCATACTCAAGCCTGTTTACTATCTGGTCCTGAAAGGTTAGCCTGGTACCTTCAACTGGTGTTGGAAGTCAGGGGAAGAAGCCCTGATCCCAGACAATCCATACCAGGTACCTACTCATCTCCCATTTAGAATGGAAGGCATGCACCAGCACTCCCCAGACTCAACAAGGCAGAGTTCAGGAAGTGTTTGGTGTCCCCAGGGGAGGCAGGAAACAGGGCTAGAGGAGCACTGCTCTGTGACATCCCTGCATCCCTGGTTTACTGGCTGCACCCTGTATGGTGGCCCCGTCACCAGCAAGATAAACTATGTCATGTCGAAGCGCATCACAGGCCTCATTTGCCAAAGCACCGTGCAGTGCTGTGTGTTCAGCAAGCACGCCCGTGATAAAAGGCCTAAGAGTAATGGGCTGTGTGCTCTGGTTTAATCTCCTAAAGCTTCCTTTTGTTTCTTGGTCATGGACTTGTGTACACATGTTTGTTTTCAAGTAACCCAGCTCTGGGAGTGTACCTAATTACCTTCAGAAGGGATTATTAGCCCTGTTAACTAAAACTCCCTAATCTATGAGGCCAAGGATTCAAAAGCAGCCTTCAGGATAGGATTAAGACCAAAAGCGAACTGTGACAGAATGAAATTGGGGCTGGCTTTCCTCGGGGGGGGGGACAACAGTTGCAAATTCCATTGGAAGATTTTCCCCCATTATGTCTGGCTCATATAGGAACTCACTTAAATATCAGTAGGCTGGAGGGGTGGGCAGAGAGACAATTGGGCCCTCTCTGTGACAGTGGCTGGATAGGTGGGCAGATGGACAAGTGAGCCCCCTCCATGACAGTGGCACTGTTTTTTTTGGGGGGGTGTTTTGGTTATTTTTAAGATTTGTTTACTTATTATGTATACAGTGTTACATATGCCTGCACACCAGAAGAGGGCCCCAGATCTCATTACAGATGGTTGTGAGCCACCATGTGATTGCTGGGAATTGAACTCAGGACCTCTGGAAGAGTAGCCAGTACTCTTAATCTCTGAGCCATCTCTCCAGCCCCCAACAGTGGCACTTTTTACTGCACACTGGAAATGTCCCGGCAACTGCTTACGAATGAGATGTATAAAGGGATTGATGAGTGGAACATTCTCTCAAGACTACAGGGGACATTTGGCATAACAGCCCCATCTTTTCTTTCCAGGTGACATGTGTACCATGGCTGGCTATGCTCGTCTCAAAAATGTCCTTCTGGCACTCCAGAGCCAAAGACAGCCATTCCAACAAGGAACCAACAGGCAGAACCTCGCCTCCCAGAAACGCCTCTTGGTGGAGTCACTGTTTAAGGACTTGGACAGGGATGGCAATGGCCACCTCAGCAGCTTGGAACTGGCTCAGGTGGGTATGGCATTCAGTAGGGACTGTGGAGAGAGCCTGCATGGCACGTGTGGGGAAGAAACACTCCTTGGCAGAGACGGTTGTTTGTAACTGTCTCTGTCACAGGTTTCCAGAGGGCCTCTCTCCTACCCTTCCCAGGATTCACAGCTTGTCTACGGCACCTCTGACAGTGTCTTACACACGAAATCCTGTCCATGTCTCCCTGCCTATGTTTACAAACCACTTTTGATGCTTCCTTAGCTTGCAGGCAAAGCATCCCTCAGAGGGGCTGCCCCCTGGTGTTTTCCTCAGAAAACCAGTCTTTGACATTTTAAGCCTGTCATGTTCTTCATCAGAAACGTCAAAGGGGAATAGTACTTGTTATAGTGAGCATATTTGGTGCTCCAGCCTGGGGTTACCCAAGGCCTCTGCCTAGTGACAGTGCTGGCATCCAAATAACAATGACCTAACCCCTGCCCCAGCTTGTGGGAATCTCTGTGCTCCCTGCCCCCATCAAAGGCACTAATCTGAGAATGCCTATGGATCCCACTCTGAGGTTTGCCTCTTCTCCAAAGACTTTGGGTTAGAAGATATCACTCTATCCAACTTTAAGGAGGTTCCCAGATGGTTAGTGTCTATATCACAAAAGAAGCAAGAAAAAGCAATATCACTCCCTGGGGCCACTGTCACCGCCACTCCCAGGAAGAGGCTCAGAGGGTTCTGGTGGCAGGAAGGCTGGCATGGGATAGAAGGGCAATGTTCTAGCCCAGCCAAAGTAAATATAAGCAAGGAAATGAGTGTAGTTTTCCCAGGCGAGTGGTACATGGAGACCACTCTACCCCAGGGGCTATAGAGTGGTCACCCAGAGAAGAGGTGACAGGATGAGTTCTCACCTTTGATGCCATGACACAAAATGATAATCTGGAGGCTGGGGCGGTGGCTTAGCAGGTAAGGCACCTGCTGTGTGAGTATTTGGACCAGAGTTTGGATACTCAGAAGCTGTGTAAAAGTCAGGCGGGTGTGGTGTCACCCTGTAAACTCTGTATAACTGAAACAAAGACAAGCCTTGAGCAAGCTCTGGCTTCAGTGAGAGGACCTGCCTCAATAGTGTTGAGAGCAGTCAAAAAGGCTTCCATATACACACACATGTGCAGCACTCACATGCAAACATGCAGACACACACATGCTCGACAATAACAACCAAGTTGATAGCCTGTGGCAGATAAATACTGCCTTGATACTCTATGTAGGGACAGGAGCTAAGAATGCAAGCTTCAAAGCCTAGCAGCCTGCAGTCAAGGTCTGCTGCCAGCATTTGTGAGCTGGTGAGTCCCCAGAGGCACCTCACTCCCAGGCCTCCATTCCTCAGCTGTGGACCTCACAGGGTCATCACCAGAGTTAATGGTGCTAAAATAGTAAGACATGTGATGTGTTTAGCATTGTCACACGGCACATGGGATGTTCTTGGTGGACATCATTGTGATCATCACCATTACTCCCCCCTCATCCTTCAGCATCCTCTCATCTAGGATCAGTACTGTTACTGTCCCATTTCACAGATGTTTTTAGAGGAGGAACTGAGACTCAAGTAAGCAGTGACTTGGTTCCACTCACCACACAAACCCCTTTATCCTAGGAAGCCTGCTGCCCACAGATGGCATGGTGTCATCAGGCCAGCGTATCACTGCTCTGTCAGTAATATTCAGCCCTCAGCTCTAGCTAAGACCCCAAGGAGCAGGGCGAGGAGCCCTCATATGACAAGAATGACTCTGAGAAAGCCCAGAGGTCTTCTTGTTGCTAATGACTATCTGCAGGACTACACCATCTGTCATTCCTCATACTATAGGCTGAGCAGGAAGCATGGGGCAAATGACATCAGATTGCCCTGGGCAGAAGCAAATGTGAGCACCTGGTACCCAGACCCACGTGGGTCCCAACAGACCTTCTTGGGTTCATTGCTCTACCCTGGCAGAGACGTGGCCATAGGCACCTGAAGGCATTAAAAAGCGTGGTAATTGGACTATGATTTCCTCTTTAAATTTTAATATATTTAAAGTCCATCTCATAAATCCGAAAAGCAGAGCCCAGCTAATGTGGGCCTTGCCTTGACACTGAGTCAAAGGCGCCGGAGGGAAGAACCCGTTGGTCCTATGAAAAGTTAATCAATTTCCAATGTAGAAATAGACAAAGGGAAATTTCCATCTTTGGAAGATTGATCTGAGGCGTCATGGTTGATCTCCTTTTTATCGAACACGCTCACTTGCTGGGTGAAGGGTCATTTTTTTAACATTATCACATTAAATTGCCTTTAATATAGCAGACCAAGCTGGTAATGTTAAACAAAGAGAAAAATGCCTCTACCTCCACCCCCCAAAATAAAGTAAAACCTTTCCTCTCTCTTGAGTTCTTTTGTAGCGTCTCTCTTGCCCAGCCTGTGGCTCTCAGCATGGAATTTCTACCCACATGACCTGTAGTGTAGCTGACAGTGATGGGGGCAGAGGTTCTGTGTCTTGTGGGTTAAACCCTAACCACAGAGGAATCCACCAGAGTCTACCAATAGCTCCTAAATCAGGCTTCTGGCTGAGGGGTGACATTTGTGGCACTGGAAGAACACAGAAGGCAGGTTAGACTTAGGTCTCACTGTGGCTCAAACATGAAATGCCCTGGTAGGCTCACAGGTGATGCCTGTGATGTCTGGTGATGAGGTTTGGGAAGGTTGTGGAACCTGTAGGAGTTAGAACCTTGCTGGAAGAAATACATCACTGGGGATGGGCCTTGAGGCTTAATAGCCTGGTCCCCACCTCACATTCACCCTGTGTTTCCTGAGTGGAGGCGTAATCTGACAGCCAGCACCCTGCTAGCCATCAGACCTTCCCTGCCACTGCCATGTCTTCCATGACTTGGTGGCACTCTGTAGCCGGGAACTGTAAAAATCTTTTTTCCCTTTAAGTTGCCTTTGCCGGGGTGTGTTTTACCACAGCAACAGAAATGTAACCAAGACAAACCTGGTCAACAACTGCTTTCTGGGCATGTGCTATCGCAAGCAAACTCCCTTAACAGTGGTGAGGGCTGGAGCATGGTTGAGGGGAGTGAACAGGATGATAAAATATGGTGTGTTCTTTTTCTCATTGCTGTGATATAATACCTATCAAGAAGCAACCTGGGGAGAGGGTTGACTTCTGGCTTACAGTTTGAAGAGATAACAGTGGTGAGAAAATACAGTGACAAGAGCATGAGGCTGCTGGTCACCCTGCATCATCAATCAGAAAGATGAGTACCAGTCTTGATCAGGTTTTGCAATTCCTTCCTCCCCTTATTCAGTCTGCGTACTCAGTCCATGTTTTGGGTGGGTAAACCTCCCTGGTGTCTTCCAGATCATTCCAACTCCAATCAGCCTGACAGTGAAAATTAGCCGTCATACATAGTGAACTGGGTTCCTACCCTGAGGTTAGCTGTTCGATAACTTCCTGGGATCAAGCCCTTCTCTACTCCGTTTCCCCATTAACAGCACAAGTGACAGACAAGTGACCCCAAAGGGTCTTCCTCACTTATATCCCCTGGCTCTGTGCGCCAGGCATGGAGAACATGGACCTGATGCCTAATACTTCCTTCTCGGAGCCTCAGTTTCCTATTTATAAAAGTGAAGGATTCAAATAAGACCAGACCACATATATTTGGGTACTCCCCCCAGTGCCATACCCTGCATGGCTTTAGAATTGCCCTGAGTCCTGGGAAAATGAGGGAATGAAGAAAAGACAGACATGCAGACACACACAAAACTGGGATGGGGGGTATGCCATTCACTCCCACGGAGATGCACCAACAGCAGCCTAGAAACCCAGCTTATTGTATACATCTGAATTTAGAAGGCAAGTCCATTATATACAGCTGAACCAGGACATGGGTTTGGCTAATCTGGATGGGGGTTTCTGTTGGAGAGCATGTCAGGCTACAGCCATCCAGAAGGAGGAGGCTGTGGTCCATTCTGTCTGCACACACTGTCAACATCTGCACATGGACCCAGAGGAGCCTTTGCTATTTCCCTGAGCCCAACCTAGAAAAGGCTTTGCCATTCTCATAGGTCTGAGGCATTGGAGTCTTTTGATGTGGCCATGGCCACATCAACAACACACATTTACTAGGGACTTCATCCATTCCCACACCCTCTCAGGCCTGTTATGCTTCCCTGAATCCCCGCTGAACCTGTGACATTTTCCAGCAACATCCATGATGCTGAGCTCACTGGTGACTCTGCTTTGTCTCTTCTCACCTCACAGTATGTGCTAAAGGAGCAGGACCTGGACGGTTCCCTGAAGGGATGTTCACCAGGCGATCTCCTGCGATTTGATGACTATAATAGCGACGGCTCCTTGACTCTTGGAGAGTTCTACACAGCCTTCCGTAAGTGAGGCCTCTGCACGGATTGTGGGAGTGGGAACTAATTTCCTGATATTCCCATGCCTTGGTAGTGATGTGGTGTAAGGAGCCTGGACTGCAGGTACATAGGGCATGTGAGCCTGGCTTCAGCAGTCCTTTGGGTGGGTTTGGCTTAGTTATGAAAGAAGTTGAGATTGTTCAGTACAAGCCTGAGCAAAGAAATGGGCAAAACAAGATGCATGGGAAGGAAAGGGCTTGCCAACCCTCTACCTTTTGAATAAATATGTTCCTCATTGGTGGAGGGGTGTGAGGCTGTAACTACAGCAGAGCTGTAACAATCCTCTTGACTGCACATGATGTGATTTTTCCTGGAGAGACCTCACAAATGACATCAGTGACAGGCCACAGAAATGACTCCACCAAAATCCAGCTTAGAGAACCAGGGGAGTTACTGGAGTTACTTAACATGAGCCTGTGTGACTCAAAGGTGGTAGCATCGATGAAAAGCCCACTATAGCATGGGCAATAGCTTACAGATTAACAACTTTCCCACAAGGCTTGAAGACAACTCCACCGGCCAGAGAGTCTCCTCTGCCTTGCAATTTCCATTACATACATAACAGGAGGGAGGGCGTCCTGTGAATCTTGTGGGTTTCAGGAGCTTCCTGGCCTTGTTTCATTTACTTCCTGAGTCATAAGCTTCCCTCCTTCCTTCAGGAGGGAATGTTTCAATTCAGGGGGAACTGCTCTGCACCACTGAACACAGAGGCAACTGGGCTCCACTGAGGAGCCCTGTCTGGAGAGAGACGTTGAGGGAGGGGCATGGCCAGGCAGAAGCTGGGCCCAGTCACTGCCCAAGGGCAATAAAGAAAGTCTCTAGGTTCAAAGTCTATATCTAGAGAAGCCACACACAGTAAGTACTCCTGTTGGAGTGGGAGTTGGGACTCTCAAGCACCCTCAATGAGCAATTCTCAAGGAAAAAAAAAAAAAAAAACAAACCTTCAGTTAACATGCTGTTATAGCCTCTAGCTATTGCTCAGAAAGGTCCAGGTTAATCGGAAATGTTTCATAGGGTTAGGTATTGTCGTAACCCCGTGACCATCTTAAGGTGGCCTTTTTATCCCCACCCCAAAGCAGATTTTTCCCAGAACTAAGCAAGTTTTACAGAATCTGAAATGTGCAGTTTCTAGTTAAGACTGTTTTATCTTTAGCAAACAGGACTTGCTGTCTAAGTGGATATTGGTGGTTATCACTTCTCAAGGGAGAAGAGCAAATGCACACCTCTTTCAGGAAATGGAAGCAGTGGGCAGATTTCCAAGAGCAGACATCAGGAGTTCAGTGTTAGCTCTGTGGTCTCAGATGAGAGGCAGCTTCTTACCCCTGTGTAATTTCCCATTCCCTAAGTCGGCTTGCTAATCATAGTGTTGACACTTGTTGTTTCCCTCTTCTTTTTCACTCCTGAGTGGCTCCTCTCATGTTCCCTTGTGTGTACCACACCTGGAGATGACCTGCTTAGAGATTCCATCAAGCTAACTCTGGGTGGGGCTTGCTGACATGAGAGCTAACCTCAGAGTGTGGGCCCACACTGAGGGGAGGGCAGCTAGTGTGCTGGGCCCACACTGGAAACCAGAAGAATCTGCTTTACTACAAACAGGGGAAGCCCCTTTATAGTCAAAGGTACTCTGGTCCACTTAGAGCAAATAGTGTGTGAGCCCTCTGGCGTGCTTATGAGCATGCCCTGCAAGCTCCTACAGTCACAGCCCATGGTAGGCATTGACCTTGGGGAGGCAGTATGAGCTCCTGACGACACTGAACATCCTAAGCCATGGAATTTAGGATTCTTCCTCCTAGCACTCATCAGGATTTCATCTTCCCAGAAGGTATCCCTGCAGTGTAGTGATGTTTCTTTGAGCCCTGTCTATTTCCAAGAGGCAGTTCTGTCTTGCTGGCAAAAGATATACTTGAAAGACATAAAGGAGAAGAAGCAAGTTATTTTTCTCTGCAGAAATTGCCCACGTACCTGGTGTGGTTCTGTGGGGAAAGCAAAGGCTTTTCAGTTCATAGCCTCTTTGGTGTCCAGGGTTACCAGTCAACCACTACAACAAGGCTTTGTTGATGTACTATGATTATGTTTGGTCTCTAGCATCCTCATCCTTGCCAACTAGTAAAGCCTGTATCTCCTGGTACTAGCACATGATAAAGTATGAGTGACTTGTAAGCTTGTCCTGTTGTTAGAAGTACCAGCTGCCACACACGCCTACTGCTGTGCCTTCCTCCACCATGGTGGCCTGTATCCTCTCAAACTGTGAGCCAAAGTGAACCCTCCCTTCCTGAAGTAGCTTTTGTCAGGCAGTTGATGACCGCAATAAAGTAAAGTAATTAATACAGCTATGTACCCTGGTGGCCAATGATGGTACATCCTACATCCTGGGAATGGATCTGGAGCCAAACAGCAATTTTGCTCCTGAGAAAATGCAGGCTTCTCTACTGCCCATGAAGATATAGGTTCTTGAATGTCAATATAAACAAGAGCCACTGTAGGAAAGGGGGCACACTGTCCCTTCAGCTTCAGCCATAGTTCTCAGGCAGAGCATCCTGATGTCTGCTCTTTCCATGCCTGGATTAGTATTTGAAAAGCTTTGTAATCATCATTTTTGAAGCAAATTAGATTCTGCGGTTGCCTTGGACTTGTTTCGAACCAGGCAGCCAAACCATTCATCACAGCCCAACCCAAATAATAGATATGCAATAAAATGTAAACTTGCAGCCATTGAGGAAGCCACAAAATGAGTTAACCCAGCTATAAAGACCTGACATGCTGAGGCTCTGAGCATCCAGGGATCAATGGCTTTTCAAAGTTATAGGAACTGCATGCTAATTCCTAGAGCTAAAGTGATAGATGTTTGGCTCTGTGAGTTCTAAATAAGTAATTGAAACGAGACATACAGGTGGAACTGATTCCCTAAAAAGCGGTGGCCATTCAAGAAATCTCACTAAAAGCCAGTCATATCTTACACATCTCAGCAAAAATATTTTAGATTTAATGTTAACAGCTGGCATTGATGGCCTGGCAGAAATTGAGAATTTGGAATTTCATTTGGGCTACAAGGTAGGGTGGAGGATGCAGGTGACTCCAGCCCCACAGCCTTCTGAAGCAAACCCAGTCACTCTACTGGAGATGGTAGGTCTGGGAGTAGTGGCAAACACCTTTAATCCCACACTTGGGAGGCAAAAGTGGATGGATCTCTGTGAGTTCTGGGCCATCCAGGGTTACATAGTGAGACCTTGTCTCAAAAACAAATCAACAAAGATGATGTGTCTGGGTGTTTGCCCTACAGAAATAGCATGTGTTGATAAATGTTGTGGGGATGGAGAAGAAGGCTTCCTCAGAAGCCCACCTCCTGGTGTAGCTGTTCTGGCCCTTCCTTGAGCTGGTTTGCAGTGCACAGCCTGTTAAAGGCTAGGCACGGAGTTCCATGGCTGCTAGCTGTCTTGCTAACTGAGTTGGTCCATGGTGAGGCTGCATCCCACTCCTGGCTTTAGGAAGTAGGTAAATGCCACACTCTGGGAAGAGGACACAGGACAGGTGTTAGCAATAAGAATCAGATTACCCTCACGCTCTCTCTCTCTCTCTCTCTCTCTCTCTCTCTCTCTCTCTCTCTCTCTCTCTCTCTCTCTCGATGTCTTTTTCTGTGTCTCTGTCTTCCCCCCCCCACTCTGGGGGGGTATGTATATGAATGAAGGAGTGTGGTATATATATGAATGAAGGAGTGTGGAGGCCAAAGAACAACCTAGGATATTGTTTCTTGGTTACTGCCCACCTTGGTTTGTGAAAGGGTTTCTCACTGGCCTGGAACTCATCAAGTAGCCAGGGCTGCCTGGTGAGCAAGCCCTAGGGATCTGCCCCTCTCTTTTTCCCTGGTACTAGATCGGGATTACAATCATGTGCCACCAGGATGAGCTTTTTATAAAGCACACTCAGTGGGAGAAGGCACAAGGGGGCGGGGGGCAACTCTAGGATCAAATTCAGGTCTCTGTGCTTGCAAAACAAGCACTTTACCAACTGAGCCATCTCCTCTGCCCCTGCATCCATCTCTTTCTGACCATCAGTCAGGACTCCCATCCCAGCCACCCATCCCATACAGTGACAGGCATGAAAGATGAAGGTGGCCTCCCTGTCTCAGTCCATCTATCAACTAAACATTGTTTTCAAGCCACTTCTGACACCCCAGATCAAAGTCAGACTTAGGAACTAAAGGCACTGTGTCCTCTCTGCATGTGTCCTCCATCTCCCTCCCTTCCTCCCCCACAGCCACCTGTCCCTGCTGTGACAGAGACCCAGGTTCCAGGGCCACTGAAAAGCCATGCAAACTGGCCCTGACTGTTCATCACAGCCAATTAACTCAAAAGTCGCTCACCTAAAAAAGCTTCTCAGTTCTGCATGTTTTTACACTTTTCCAAATGTTCAAGTTGGGATCATGGGGGGGAAAAACAGGTCACTTAAATGAGGACTATTTTTTCTCTCTCTCTCCCTTTAAATTCATTATTAGTTTCTTCTTCTTTTTAGAAAGCTACTTGTCTGCATAATTAATCCTCTGAGGGCAAACCCAGCAAATGAGTGGATGGAGGCAGGTGTTGAGCAGCAACCACATGGGCTTCACACAGTAACACTCCAGCTCACCAGGGACCCCAGGGTGCTGACAGGGTGGGAATCTGACCCAGGCCTTCCTCTGGCACTCGGGAGCTCCAGACATACAGAAAGGGAAAATCTGTGTCGATCTCCTCACTGCCTGACTCTTGTAGCCAGGGCAAGTCTGAATCAGATGGACCATTCACCTGGTGAAGTCACACATATTTTTCCACCATCTTTGCTGCAAAGTAGAAGGAAGGAACAGTCTGGCTGCTCACATCCTATCCCCTGGAGCCAATAATGGCTGCCACCATCCCAGGCTTCCATACCCACCTCCTCAAACCCAGTGGTCACCAAGGTGGTGAGAGAAGACAGCCACAAGCTTTAGCGAGTT